TATATGCCAAAGCTAGGATTTGGGTTAATAAGTAAGAGGCACTGGAATTTCTCAATAATCAAGATAAATTCAACATAATTATCTCATCAGATTGCAGGACTAGAGGGATCAGAATGCTAGAGTATTGAATAAGCTGTTTAAGAAGGTAAAGGGAGATAAAAGAAATAGTGTGAGAGGGGTGACTTTGTGTACTACCCAGTGGCTTATATATGCCTAACTTAAAATCAGGAAGCGCAGAATCTTAAAAATTCAGTGGAATACATTCATAACAGAATACAGGAACAAGTAGGGGTGGACAGAGCTGGTATTACAAATAACTGTTTTGACCCAGAAGACAGGATTATTTACTACTGCCTGTGGGGGAAAAAAAGCGCATTTACAACAAACTTTGTTCTTTCAGAGATTTTCACTAGATCTCATTTATATACCTGAAAACATCACTAGAATAGCAGTAATACCAGATGATAGTTCTATAAAACAAATTGTATCAAATTCTGCTGATGATAGTTAAAAATGAATTTATCCACCAGATTGGAAAATGGGTTTTCTCAGGAATACGTGAACATGATCACTTTACATTCAGTATAGGTAAAAATTAGACAGTCTGAAATACTAATTTTTATGAGTTTTGTTTTGAAAAGGCCAATATCCCAAAGCTGAGGACTGCTCTTAATCAAGTTGAATGGAAGAGAAATGTGTGAGTCGAAGTTGGATGATTTTCAGGATGAGTTATCAGAATAAGAAAAACGTTAAAAGAAGCTGTATGGCAAAAGAAGACAAAGTAGAAATGTGTTTACACACATACAAATGTGTTTAAATATGTAGATATTTGTCTACACGTGTCTATATTTTGGGGGTGTATGTATGGATATGTACGTGGATATGAATATATAGTACATTTAAATAAAGTGTGTGATTATATATTGGAAAAAAGAACTAGAAAAGGAGAAAGAGACATTAGAAGATATTTTTGTGTTAGGAGGTATGGAAACTACTGGTAAAGGTTAGAGCAAAATCTATTCATATCAAGCAAATGGCGTTCTGAAAGAGTTCTTAAGTTGCATAAGGAAAAAAAGGTAGTAAGGGTGTAGGCCCAGAAGGGGTTGAACGTGTTAAAACTGTTTGTAGCACAGTCTTGGATAGCTGAAATGTTCATTGCATATTTCTGGCTTATGTTTGGAAAGAAACAAGATGATGTTACATATATCATGTGAGGATGATGTGCTATTTTCCAGCCCATCAGCAATTTAGGGAATGCTGGACAACACCTACTTTGGGCTAGCAGCTTTAAACCAGTAGATCATATATAACCTGCAGCTATGCAGCATTAAAATAATAATAATAAGAAAAAAAGGCTGAGGAATTATCAGGCCTACTGATGTTCATTTTTTAACAAATTTTGGGATATTTGAGGAATTTGCTAAGACTGAAAACATGCTCATATTTTGCCAGTGTTCCAACAGAACAAACAAGGTAATTGTGATAACAGCAGTATAGCTAGCCTGGCCTCACTTCCAGGAAAGTAATAGACAAGCTGATAAGGGAATTGAAGTAAGAAAGAACAGGGATATTATTAATGGCAGCCAATGATGTTTCTATGGGACATAGATCTTGACAGATAAACTTGTCTTATTTTTTTTAAGTAGTTACCTGATTGTTTGATAAAATGACTCTGTGGGCATAATAAATCTTGAAAGGTGTTCAAGTCAATATCCCAGAATATTTTGCTCAGTAAATAAAGAATTTTGCACTTTTGTATATCCATATATCATGTGGAGAACAGGTGTGTCAAAAGTAAAAAAAAAAAAAAAAAAAAGGGTTTAGAGCAAGCATAATGCATGCACTGGTAAGAGATGCAAATACTGGATGGGAAGGGATCATTCAGCCAGTGAGGAAATATGTAATATGGATTGATGATGATAACCTTTAGCAGTGTCATCAGTTCAGCAATGAATAGTCCATGTGCTTTCACAATCACAAATGCTTAATTCCCAGAACAAGAGACAAGTGAACTCCTCATCTTTTGATTCTTCAAGGTGCTCTTCCATAGAGACTCCCAATAGGACTAAACCCAAGGCAGCAAGGTCCACACAGTTGTGGAGCATGGGACATGGCAGCTTGTGACATGCAAGAAGTTGGGCAAGATGATTTCCTTTTCTGTTCTAATCTTAAAGTCCAGGAACTGTTCCCAGGATATAAGCCTGGCTGTGAAAGTCCATGCAAAGGTATATACTGCATATCTGTACATGCTTTTAGAACGGAAGCTTTACTGCATCTCAAACAATTCTCTTTATTGTCTCTAAAAAAGTATGGGAGAACTGGTGAGATGCAAGGACAAATGGTAAAGGTGATAGGACAAGAAGGAATGGCTTTAAACTAAAAGGGGAGAGATTCAGACTAGAATTTTTTTACTCAGAGGGCAGTGAGGTAGTGGCAGAGGCTTCCTGGAGAAGCTGTAGATGCCCCATCTCTGGAGACGCTCAAGGCCAGGTTGGATGGGGACCTTGGCAGCCTTATCTGGTGGGTGGCAACCAGCCCATGGCAGGGAGTTGGTTCTGGTTTACCTTTAAACTCCCTTCCAACTCAATCCATTCTATTATTCTGTGATTCTATGACATGCAATTTTGTGCCAGAGATTTCCTTTGTAATTAGGAAGAAGTCACTAAGTTTCTGTGCCTCGGTTTACTCCCTTTTAGAAAGTGAACCTACTGCTTTCCTCAGCCCCTCCCTCCATGCCTGATGCTGGAGAGACATCCAAAGGTACTGTGCAAATGCTTTTTTCCAAAAAAAACAAACAAAAAAATTTAAAAAACAGGGGATGGCACAGGACTGATGTTTTTCTAATGCTTCCATCTTGCAGAAAGCACTCACATTGTCCTGGTCAGAAATCCACCCATACTGTGAACTTTGACAAGATAAATACAATTGTCCTGGGACTGGTTATGCAACACGCTTGCTTTGCAATTTAACTAATGAATGTGCTGAGAGCCCAGATTAATCTTTTAACTTGAACAGTTTCTCCCAAGGGAGAACATATGTAGCCTGGCTCTCTGTAATATTATCCCCTCACAACGGCCAGAGTGACTTTGCCACTTGAATGTTTGTTTTGCTTATGTATGTATAGCTCATGTTTTCACAGATTTTTTTGGAGGAGGTGGGAGGACTGGAGGCTTCACTTGAGATTGTACAGCTGGATCTGCAGGATTTCACAATCAGATCTCCTGCTGATGGATGCTATGAGAGCTCTTTGGTGTGATTATTTTAGCTGCAGGTATGGCTAGGCTTTATCTAGTCAACCTATATTCAATTCTGTGCTCTCTCAGCCCAGCTGTTCATTTCCGAAAGTGATAGTTCTGATATTGCTACTTGCTCACTAACTGAGAACAAAAGATTATTTTAATCCTGTGGCTTTCATTTAATTAGGAGAATAACAAAGGTTTTCCTAATCTCCTTCTAGAAGATGTAATGCTGCAGAATACAGAAAAGACAGTAAATTCTTATGTCGAGAGAAACTTGACTTCCCAGAGTAACATGCAACTGTGTAAGAATCTCACTGTTAATTGCACCAAGTAGGCCAGTTTTGAAAGTCAGCATCATATTTAAACTGTCACACTGTAGAGAACTGCTAGCTTAACATTGCTGATTAATGACTGCAGAGTCCATAGTCCCATTTCCAAGCAAACTGTCAATGGTACTCAGTCATCCCAAGAGAGCTCATAGTACAAGCACTTGGCAAAGTTTCCCTTCATGTTTTGCGATCCAATTCACAATGATGATTTTACGGAAAGGGGAAACAAGAAGAGGGACTAGACATGAAAACATTGGCCTTCATTCTGGAGTCATTCCTAAACCACATTTTTTGCCCCAGTATTGGCTCCTATTCTCTGGTATGCCTCTACAAACCAAGATATAGATTTAGAGCAATCCCACATGACCGCAATGGCTCAGATACTGCCATCTGTGCCAGATGTGGGTGTGACCTGCCACCATTTACTGGAGAGAGACCAGGTTCATCCCAAGGGACTCATCTCCTCCCAGCTGGCCTGTCCACACTACACTAAGCTCCTGATGCCCTTCCCGATGACCTCCCAGTCCCGTTGCCATCATCCATACATGGCAGACAGGATGAGGGTTTATTTTGCCATTGCAGGAACACTAAAGAGACGCTGAACAGCACTGGAGATTTCTTGTGCACTTGAAAGAGATCGTGCAGATCAGCCCTTTTGTGGGGTCAGGAACATAACACGTGCTGAAGATTGGTCTTGTATTTCCTATTTGCAAACCATCTGCTGGCTGGCCAAAGGCAAGTGCTGGAAGAGGAGTGAGCAGCAGCCTGCATGCCCCATTTGCTCTGACCTCATGGAGCTTCAGAAAGCAATATCAGTGAAGGACAGCATGTCTGGAGGAAACAGTGACCTTTTCAGAGCCTGACACAGACGGTATCCATTACAGTATTATCATCTAATATTTGATTATTACAATTTTCCAGTGCATGCTTGCACAACATGTACTGCCAGTAGATGCAGCATATGCTGAAATCACTTAGCTGACATAAACAAACATAATTAAGGCCTAATACAATGGAGTTTATGGCATGTTGTCCTCCTGGAAATATTTTCAGTAGTGAAGCCTGGACTATCTGCAATTTAAAAGACTTGTACTTACACCCTTTTTGCATAGGCTGAGACAGGCTGTTCAGATTGGTTTTAAAATTAAACTAAGCAAAACATTGGACTTCTGAAGCATATAAAGCTATACCAGGAAATTAGAAGCTTATGAACCCAGACAGACCTACAAGATACTACTGTCATTTCAATGCAAAAGAATGAATCATAGTAGGAAACGCTCCCACTTTTTTAACGCTGTTGATGAAGAAATCTATCAATAGATTCTTTAGCCAGTTGTAGGCAAATGAGGGAATCTGTAAATAATGGAGTAAATGAGATGCAGGTGAAAGGAGATCCTTTTGTGTTCCACCCTAAAGGGTGAAAGTTTTAGCAGAGGATGTTCCATTGAAGGGTGCAGCTCCTCAGGTGTTGGGTTCAGAACCAATGAAGTCACCTTCTGGGGAAACAGTTTGCTCTGTAAGTAGAAGGAAGTACTCACATAAAATTCTAGAGTATGACTTTAGAGAGGAATGGGTGCCTAAAATGGCTGTTTGGGCAAGCAAGAGAGTAGAGACCATTCTTTTGAGCAGAGTCTCAGAGCTTGAGAATGGAAATAGGAATACATGTTGTGAGATGAGAAAGGCTATTAGAGTAATCCAACAGTGCTGGCGTGAGAACAAATGAGTTTGAACTGGCCCTTAGTCTGGAAACTTACAAAAGCATCCCAGCAGTGGGAGGAGGGTGAAAACTTGGCTAGTTTCTAAATGGGAATGAAGTCTGCAACTGGGAGTGACTGATGTGGTCACCTGCAACAGCAGGGCTCTGGGCTTCCTGACTGAGGCGATCAGCCTGGAAGAGACCTCCCCTGTGAAGAAGGATTTAAGCACATGCTCCGCTCTGTGGGGATGTACTTGTTAACATTTCAGCTTCTACAGCTGAAGTGTGTTCTTCATAAGCGTATTACATATGCATAGATCAATATTACAGGTAGCCAATGTCTGGGGCTTGCATATCTTGCCTTGTGACTTCTGTGGGAACCTAGATCCCATGCAAGCTGTGTCCCTCTGTATTGTACCCATTGCAGGAGCAGAGCAGCGCCCAAACTCCAGCATGGGCTTTGGGTGATAATGTATCAAGCACCATTGGTAGACCCCTTCTGCATCTCCTTGAGCAGCCTAGGGCAGAGATGCTGTAATGGGTATGAAAGCACACAATGCTGCCACAAACAACGCTGAGAACATGACTGTCTTGTAAGATCCTACCAGCATACAACTCTTGATGATCTCTTACATATTTAGCAAGGGATTTTATAATCACCACTAATAAGTATGCTTTTAAAATACTTGAAAGGAAACAAATTTGTATAGAATGAATTGGAGGCCAAGACCTGTTAGCTATAGATGTTTATATGGGAGGCTGGGGGCTTTCTTCTGGCTGTTTTCAGCGTATGCCTCCAAATCTCTCTCCAAAGTTTTCTTGCTTCTTTCCTTAAGTGAAAATGCTCGTGATTGCTTAAGTCATTGCGTTTATTAGTGATACATGTAGCTGAAGCATCAGAGTTTCTTTTCCTCCACTGGAGTTACTTTTTGAATGAAAGAGCATTTTGATACCACTGCCATCATAATTGCCATTCACACTCAGCTCAGGTATCTGCACATCCTATCCCTTCCTTCATTGGTTTTTCCCTTGGAAATCACTGGTTCAGAGGACATAAAGTAGTCTTTATTTCCTGATGTTCAGATAATTACTAGAGCTTGTATTTCTAGCAGCTGATACCCTAGTTCTCAAATTGCTCTGACATGGTTCCCTGCTCCCCAGCTGGCTACCCCAGGTGTGTGGGAACGAGGTGGAGTTGCAGCTGGCAAAGCACTGAGATGGGCCCTGCCTCAGAGCTCAGTCCTCCTGCTCCAGAGGAAAGCCAAGACAAGTCTTTTTTTTTAAACCAGCTCTTAAGAGAGTTTTCTGGTCCAAGTTCAATCTGATTGTAAGGCTGAAAGAAGAAAGGAAACACAAAGCAAAGCCAAACTGAAAATGGACTTTGGCGTATGCCGGAAATAAAAGCCAAAGCTTCAAGTTACACATGTTGTCTGAGCAGCCTGCACATGCTCGTGTTGCCTGCAGGAGAAATAACTGGAGGGGTGTGGTTCTCTAAACCTTGAATTGCTCAGGTGTATGCACTTCAGCTTTTATTTTGCCTCCTGACATGCTGTAGGCTGCCCTGTGTGACACAGCCGATGGCTGCTCTCCTGCAGAGATGGGGCCCTACTGCCAAAATGCAGTGACTATGCACCACTGGGACTCTGCCAGCAGCCAGCACCAGGCACAGCCAGGCCAGATGTGAGTTTCAAGGTTTGCATTCTCTTTTTTTATTGATATTCTCACTTACCACCTACTGTTTGGTCCAGAGAAGAAAACAGGAAAGGAAATACTCTGGCAAAACAAACAGCTGCTATTTAGGGCAGTGGGGAGAGGATCAGAATTTCAGCGTGTGTCCTAGGAAGTGCTGCACAGCAAAGCAGAGGTACTCCTTATGATAATAATTAGCGATTTAGTCCCCCTATAATCTAATGCGGGGATGAGATGAGGTTGCTATGTTTGAATGCTGCTTACTACCTTGCTAGGGTGCAAGAGTGCCGTGCTTCATTCATCACCTCTTAGTTAGATGCGTTGCCTTCATTTTGCTAGGAAAATCTGTCTTCAGCAAGAATGTTAGATCTAACAAATTACCTGTGGAAATATGCCAGTTTCACTATAGAGGCTTTAGCTTAGTATTTCGTTCGGCTTCTGGAAACTCATTTCTCTTAAGAGTTAAAACCCCAAAAGTCTAGTAGAGCTTATGAGTTTAAACATATAACTGTAGCTGAGGAGAGAGAGGAAGAGCTTTATTTGCTATCTTCTGCTCACGTTCTCCTCTACTTATTTATACCCAATTCTTAATGAGTTCTGTTTTCATTCAGTACTGGTATGTGCAACGGTTGCAAAACTGTGAGTATGTGTGAGTATATGAAATCTTACAAAAGTTTCATGCGTATGGATGAGCCTGATCATATTTGTCAAAACAAGGTCCATGTACAGGCATGGCAACGCAGAGGACTGCTATGAAGATGCGCAGACATCCTCTCATCTTGAGGGAGATACTTAAAATACATCACAAGTTTAAAGCTAAGCACATTTTGAGTGTTTTTAATTAATAGAGATGAACTGCTTGCATTAAGTTGCTGGATACTTAGACATCTACCAAGGAAAAAACATAACTCAGGGGAAGTACTCACATTAGAGTTGTAATTCACACTTTTCCTATATGCCTGACACAAGAACAGGGTTCAGCCAACAGCAGAAGTTCATACGGTATTCTATTCCATAGGTGAATGTTCTGGTAACTGTATGATGAGGCTGTTTCTTCACAGTCTCCTACAGAAATAGATTAGAGCACATAATTTGTTTGCTACACCCCCCAAAACTTCTTACTGTTTGTTCGTTCAGTGACACAAAAAAATCAAGGTGTCTTCGCTACTTTATCGAAGCAGTACAATCTATTGTCTCCTGTTGTCAGAAAAGCACAGAAATTATCTTTATTAAAAAAAAAAAAAAGCTAGGATTTGCCATCAGGCATTTGGAAAGATGTTGCCTTGCAAGGAGTCATATCCTCAGTTCTGCAATCCACTTTTCTGAGACTGAGAACTCTTCTCAAGGAAGCAATCTGTTACTAATTTACTATTTTATACTCTTCCACCCAAACCTCAGAGGCCATGTATATTTTCCAAAAATACAAATTGAATCAGTCTGGGAAATCTTGACTCTTCATTATCTTTTTCTTGCCACCTGAAAATACTCATCCTCCTGCTTCTAATTACTTTTTCTTTTCTGTGGTCCTGCACAAGTGTCCTCCTGTCCCTCATGAGGCTTCTGCTTTTTGGAAGGATATTCCAAGCCTGTGTGTTTGAGCATTAACTGCATCGGGACTTCATTGTAGCAGACAGACTTGGAAGGCAGAATGTCACTGGCTCTAGACTGCAATTGTCTATCATGAGAAGAAGTTGATTTGTCTTTTGGAAGAGGTTTGAAGGAGCTGGCATCTTCTCCCAGAATAACTTTTCTTTTGTAAAGTGCAAATAAATCTTGCACGCAGAATGAGATGACAGATTAGCCTCATTCTGCTGTAGACTAGGAAATTGGGCAGTATTGTTTCCAGCAGGAAGGTAAATCTCTGAAGGCTTTCCAGATGCAGTCTCCTCCAGTCTGGCTGCCGAGGGGCTGCAGCCAGGTATTTCTGGAGTCCTCAGCTCTATAGCCTGGCAGAGGCAGACAGAGGCTGCAGCTTATCTTGGGGGGCTGTGTCTGTGGCCAAATCTTGTGGGAGGGCTGAATGTATTCCACCCCTAGTTAAAATGGACAGAGACTTGTGTCACGTAATATTGCTGGTTTTGCACTGGCTTGAGATGCAAAGTCAACCCTTCCACTGGTATTTTTGCTCCTAGAAACTGGGAGGTGCAATGACTGACTTTCCCCAGGCTTTCCCCAAAAGCTCAAGCTGTGTGTTTAAGAAAGGTCATTGCACAAATCCTATGATTTGAGGGAACTTGGAAGCAGAAAGTTTCTCCTTCTTTAAATGTCCAGGGAATGGTTCATAGGCAGCTTAGGTCAGATGCAACTGCCTCTGCATGCTGCTGCTGTTCCTCTCGATAAACATCAATTACTGCTTGACAAGGAAATCAATGAGCTAAATGCCCTGAAACTTCCTACCTGTTCAACAGCCCCTGGTTGCACTCTCCTTCATCTTTCTGTTCTACTTTAATACATCTTTACCATTCTTAAAACAAAAAGCATTAATAAAATGAGTTTAAAGTTTGCATGTATCAGCAACTCCTTACTAAGAGGTTACAGCTACTTCTCTGCCTGGACTAATGCATTTTTTCAGAAAATGCATTTCAGAATGCAGGTTAATCTTGGTCTGTTATTGGATATAATTCTAGTTCACTTTCCTTTCCTACAAATACATGATCTCAGTACCACTGAGATATATGATGTTAAAAAAAAATATATATATGGCTGATGCTGTTGTTTTGTTTGCTGTTCCCATTCAGAGATTATTTCTGCTTGCAGTTCTTTGTGCTATATATTTCACAGCACCAGTTCACACAGGATTTTGCAAGCAGAGCTTCCTGTTGGAAAGCAACTTGTAGAATAGCTTTGATTTTTTTCATAGTTTCAGCCTAAGGAGTAAGCTGATTGTACTACTGCTGTTTAGAAAAACATTGTAGTCTTGATCCAGGTAAAAAAGATTGGAAACACTCCTACAAGCTACAGCTTGTAGGAAGAAGTTCAAATCAGACAAAATTTCCCTGTGTGCATGCAGCAGATCACATCTGAGCATGTGGTGCGCACTGGCAGGAAGGACAGCTTGAGCACGTAATTCCTAATGGGTTCCTCATCACAGGAGTAAGCACAGACAAATAATCTCACACCCATCAAACTGGTTCTGGAGGCAGATGATAATTCAGGTGCAGAATTAACAATCTTCTCCAGAGCCAGTGCCACTCTTGTGTGCTGGCTGATAAAACCTTTGTGAGCCTCTTCATTTCAAGGAGAGTGTTATAAGACTATCAGTAGCACGTGTGTTAATTAGTGTGGACCTTAGGTCAGAGTTTCCCCAAAGCTCCAATTAAAGCAGTGATGACTTGAGACCTGTGAGTAGTATGCAGAGTTGCTTCTTCCCAGCACTGAGCAGATGAGACAGAAGTGGGCTCTGCAGGATGTGATGGAAGCTGAGAGCCCAGTCACTGTCGTAAACAAACTTTATTCACTGATACTTTTGTTGAACAGAGCTCTTAGTCACTATCATGACTCATGAGAGCTGGACAGAGCTGCTCCTATTGCCCGAATACTTCTTGTTTCCCCAGTACTTCCTATGTGGGAGTCAGCTATAAGCTGTAGTGCACAGCTTTCTCCTAGAGGAGGAGCAGGCTCTATCGTCAGATATTTATTGGAATTGTCAGCACTATTTAATATAAGAGATAACTGACTGAAAGATAATATGCTATTTGTTCAAGACCCAAAAAGCAAACAGTGTTAGGAGTAGAAAACAGACTGCTGTCACTGGGCGTTGGGTTCAGCTTCCTCACTGTGCAATAGGTTTTCCCCCTTTCAAGCAGTGTATTATTTTTAAATGTGAAATTCAGCATTGCAAGGGTTCACAAGCTCATCTGAACTTCTTCCCCTCAGTCCCTGAAATTTCTCTTTCCAGCTGCCTATTGCATGCCTGCCCATTATTTAGGAGGCTTTCTGTGGGCTGTGCTACTCTGAAGTTGCTGAAATACACTTGCTGACCAACCTGCCTGATGTTGTGCCTCCCTTTTGCAAGTCCCTGCATGTGATTGGGCCCTGGAATGGCCATGCCAGGAGAGGGTGGCAGGGAGTGCTTTTGGATTAAGTTACTACAAAGGGCAGCATGCCATTGATTTGTACAGTTTTTTTTTAATAGGAATGATTTTTCTAGTTAGATTTCTTTTAGATTTTTGTGTGTGTGAAAAGATAAAACAAAAAACAGTAAGATAAATAATTTAAGTTATAGACATTTACAAACTTATAACTTAAATTATAAACATAAATAGACATAGTTAAATGCAGTGTAAGCAGAATTAAGACACAGAAGATTAAATCCTTCCAGATGCATATTCACAAAGTAAAGGATGCAGCCCACTGAGAAACCTGACGGTTTTTCCCTCAGATCACATCTAAGACCACACCTGTGGCCCCCCTCGTGACAGGAGAAGTTGGGCATCAGCCCTACAATGTGGGAGCAACCACCTGCTCATGCCCTGCTCACCCAGCCACGCTGTGGGCTAATCCTAAAAAAGGTTCCTACAGGGTGTTATGAGAACTCATTAAGTAGTTTGTAAAGCATTAAGAGACTTCTGGATAAGAGGAGCAGCTCTAAAGGCACAGTGTAATTAAAGCAGTGGTTACTTTATAATAAGCTAATAGTAGGGTTATCCATCATCTGTTCAGCACTTTACTGTTATTAAATATTATTTCATGGTCACATGTGAGGAGATGCTGCTTAGTCTGAGGGTGCTGTGGCTGTGTGGGAGGAAGGGCTGAGGGAAGTCCTCCCAGGAAAACTTGCTGGATGGTTTGGAGATGGGGCTAAGCCACATTGGCTTTTGAAGGAGTCACCCTCTCTGGCATGCATAGACGTGTTCGCTCCGCTTGGAATCTTCCCTGATGAGTGCTTCAAGTGAGATAGCATCAATGTAGGCAGATGTCCCCCTGTGCTGATGCTCTAGCTCTCATTGAGTTTTGGCTGAGTTTTTCCCATATCATAAAGCCATGAGTGAGTCTGGCAAATC